ACTGTTTCCAATAAATTCAACGTTGAATATATATTTCAATAAAAAGATTTGTTTTCTTTACAAGAGAAAAGAACGAAAAGCAAAAAAGATGTTTGGTATGTAATTCCTGATAGTTTAATGATATCAGGAAACTATTGAGTAGTAGTAGTAGTAGTAGTAGTAGTAAATGGATGGAATAAATTGAATTAATGATTGACGTTTGCATAGCTGTCATTTCCATCAAACATTATTATATTATATAGAAGTGAGTAATATTGAATTATTGATTGATTTATGAATAGGAGGTAATAGTTCAGAAAGGGTATATCACAGAAATTGCTATGGTCTCGAGAGAAAATGATTGTATTTCAGAGATATTTCGAAAATATTAAAATCATGAGCTTTTGAGATATTATTCCTAGCAGTTATTTGGTCATTTGCTTCCACAATTCACTTACTCATCCTTGCAGTTATTTCAACTGACCAATTATTATTAAACGGTTAAATCAATAAGATAATTTCAATTATTTGCGAGGATCGGTAAATTGCTGAATTACTAGAGCAGTAAGGAATTATTTACTGATTAAATTTAAAATGGGAATGTCGTTTTTATTTAAATCACTTAGATTTTTTTTTTGCGCTTTACTTCAAAGAAGGAAAAATCAAGGATCAGGTTATTTTCTTATCAAAGATAAAAAGTATCACTGAAATTTGCTAAATAAACAGGGATGCATACTATATGGCGATGAGTCATTTCAAGTAGCTAAAATCCTGATTAGCACTGTTTGAAATTAGTGAAAGTTTCTGCTTTCAAATTAGTACAGTACATGCTGCTAATAATATGTGTAAAAGGGATCACTATGATCAGTGGTCGTGATATTACTAGTTGATACGTTGGGTACGTCGTAATTATTGTACCAGTTAATTAGTTATTATTACTCATACCTATTACTATTGATCATTTTTCAGTATTTGCTGATTGCTGTTGGTATCGTATATTCAACAGTCAACATTCCGTAATTATTATCAATACTGGGATGTTTGTTTTTTAAATATTTGTGATAATTTTTGGTATTATTAATTATTATTAATAACTCTATAGATAAATAGGTACGAAGTTGATGAATTGAAAAATGTTAATTATAAGGAATTATTTCAAAAGAAAACTTTCGTTACAGTATGATATTTTCTGGTATAAATTGATCGTAGCATAGGGGGCATTGTAGAATGGCACTAATAGCAATGGTAATCGTTATGATAAGAATTGTCACAGTTGCTGCTAAACTGATTATTATTACTACTTCTTTACTGTGTTTGGTAATCTGAAACAAATGCAGTTTGTTTATATATTATTCATCTTACAAAAATTTTTGGATTGAAATTTGAATTCATTATTTTCTTTTATTATTATTATTACTTATTGTTATTATATTGACTAATCATTGTATTATTGTTATTAATTATTATCACTTATTATTTATTAATTATCGATTATAATTATTAATTATTGTTTATTATTTATTACTATTAATTATATAATTAATAATAATTATTGTTTATTTTTTAAATTATTATCAATTATTATTTATTATAATTAATTATTATCGATTATTACTTATTATTATTAATGCTACTAATTATTTCTATTATCACTATTATCATTATTAATTATTATTATATCCAATCATAGTAAATAATATGCTCACATTATTTTAGGATAACAAAGTTTCTGTTTTGATTTTATATTTAAACGATATTGTCAAGTTTTAATTTGAAAATTTGTAGTTCTTTTCTCCTCTTTTGCATCATAATTATATTTGAATTCAGATTTTTCTTAATTCAAATTTTAAACTCGCCGCTTTTTCTTTCTATATTGCTACTATAGTATCAATATAATATCGCCGTATCGGTATTATTTTAAGGAAAATTCTCAACTTTCTAATTAAAAAAAAAAAAAAAAACTAGTAGTAAAGATAATTTGTTAAAATAATTCTCTAGAATATCTCACTCTTATTATTTCAAAATTTCTAATTACACTTTTTAGTTTTACCTATTTGAATTCCTTTACGATGACAAACTGCTCAATTAAAAGTATAAAAAATTTTTTGCAAAAAAATTGCAACCTATATCGTCTTCTACGCATTCATATAATTCGATTTTTACATGTAAATTCTAATATTAGGAATATTTTATAGGCGATGAATTGAATGCATTTACTGAAAATTCCTTTCAAAATTTCAATATATATTTAGGATAAAATTTCATATTAGTATTGAAAGGATATATCATATGAAAATGTTATCAATTTTCCAATTAAGCAGTATATACTAGTATATATACGATCAATTTTTAACATTATTTGTAATTTAGTATCATATCATTACCATTTCAGCCATGAATTCATCATATCGTTGTCTTCTAATGCTTCTTCTAACAATATTTCGAAAAGTTTCTGATTTCCTGCAACAATATCTTCTTCTTCTTCCTTCTTCTACTTAGTACCAACAATGCTTTAAAATATTATCTTTTGCTTAGCAGCAATTTCATTTTAATCTTCAAAATTTTCATTTTATAATATCAACGTTTGTTGGGAAAATTGATGAAGAAAGAAAGAGAGAGAGAGAGAGAGAAAAAAGAAAACGATGAAAATATCAAGTTTTTGAGAATAAGATTGAAAAAAAAAGGAGTATGATAAGAAATGAGAATTTACCGCGAATCTCTTCTCATTTCCATATAACCATATGTATTTACAGTATTTGCATTGGGATTACCATGGAATGCTACTGTATTTACTTAAAATTTGATAATTTTGTGATAAAGAAATTTTTTTTTTTTTATATCATATTTTTTATCAGCTTCATTGTTTCTTTTATTTCTTTCATATCAAAATACTAATTGTCAATCGATAGGAGAGATATAAATCATTCGTATCAAGTAAATTCTTTCGACAGCTTTCAAAATTTTTCAATTAAAGAAAAAAGGTGGAAAAAAGTCAACAGTTACTGCAATCCTATCGTGTTCTTTTAAATTAATTGGGCTATCTATGATAAAGATATCGCAAATAACCGATCAAACTGTAATATTGATCCATCGATCAGTCAACTCTTGGTTAAAAATAATCATGAAATTTTAGATTTCAAGTAATCAAAATCCTATGGTTTATGAAAAGAGTGAAGAAGTATGTGAAAATTAAATGCTAAAATTTAATGAAGAAAATATTAAAATAAAGGAAGTTATAAATTTTACCTTTGACATATTTAATGGAAACGCAATTAGCTATGACTGTAAAATACCACACTAAACCGACTTTCATCGTTTCAGGAAAAAGTAATGAATGATTTCTGATTATTATGTATCATTTTATAATGCATATTAAATTGAGAAAAAGAAAATATGAATAAATTTACATAGAGTAGCTTCTAAGAAATTTTAAAATGATAATATAAATTTTAATTGTTTAATATGTTAATTATTTATGAAATTATTTTCCTGAAAACATTTTTTTCTCTTTGCTTAACAGCAGCTTATCACTTATTAACTTATCAGTTATCATCTCTTTGCATTATCATTTCGTATGTCATTGATCAATTTTTATTTAGATGATAAAAATTGATTATTCTTCATTTCTATCACAATTAGGATTGATTTTAGGAGGGATTTTATAATTTAACAAATTTGATAAGAATTATATAAATCAATAGATTTATCATTATTTTAATTAAAATATAATTTTCTCGACTTCGTTATCAATTTATCATTATTTTAATCCTATAATTATCTTGACTTCTATAAATGTCGAAGATTTAAATATTCAATATAGAGCACTAGTAGCTAAGAAAGAATAAATAAAAATGAAAAGTGACATTACTAGCAACCGCTAACTGTCACAAAGGATGCAAATTATCTGTGAAAAAACTACAACAATTATGATCTCAAGATTTATATAATTTGTAATTCTTAATCTCGAGATGCGATTAGATCTTGTTATTAAATGTTAATATATTCATATTTTATATTCGTGTAATTTTATTATAGTCTTGAGATTTATAATTTGTAATCGTAATCCGAGATTTTTAATCTGTAATCGTAATCTAAGATTTATAATTTGTAATCATAATCTCGAGATATGATTAGATCTTCATGTTAGATATTAATATATTCCTATACTGCATATTTCATATTCATAAAATTTTGATTAAGATTTTGTTTTTTCACAATTTTTTGATTTGTAAAATTTTAATCTAAAATTATATGAATATGATTTCTCTTCAAATTTCAAATATTTACTCAAAATTATGATTTCTCTTCAAATTTCAAATATTTACTCAAAATTTATCTCATCAACCTGTTCATTTTAACATATCAAAATATAGCAATTAAAATTTTACACTGGCAATAATGTTTTAATTGCTCTTTTTCTATTTACACAAATGAATAATATTATAAGTAGGATATTATGAAAATGAAATGAAAATTAATTGATTTATTTTAATTAGTCTATTATTATTTTAACTATTTCTATTACTATTTAACTATTATTTTAACTATTAACAGAGTTATTTTAATTAGTCTATTATTATTTTAGCGGTTTCATTTCAAATTTCATTGAAATAATTTCAATTATTTTCATATTAGGCTAACAACTCTAACTATACGATAAATTTCATTCATTCATATCTCATCAATGAATGCTGCTAATATCATTCATTCATAAAATCTGAACAATTTTATTCTATTTAATTTTGTGCACAATTTTATAGTTAATTAGTAAATTTCATTTCATTTCACTTTATTCTTTTATATACAATCAATCAATATATATATAAACAATCAATCAATCAATCAATCAATCAATCAATCGATATATATATATATATACAATAAATTCACAAAAGAAAAAAACGAAATTCAATTCCAACGAATTTTATATTCTACTAAAATTTATTATAAATTTATATCAAAAATTCCGATATTTATTATTCCTTTCTTTTTTTCCAGTCCAACGATTGATATCTTTTACAATGGAAAATGGAACTTTTACAGTAACGGCTAAATTATTCGTCGAAAATCGTTTACGTCTAGTGAATATGCTGAAAAATAAAATTGAAGCTGGAAGTATTATATTGTTAAAAGGTGGTATAAAACAGAATCGTTATAATACTGATTCTATGGATCTTCCATTTCGACAAGTTGCAATTTTTCCTTCTTCTTTTCTACTCTAAAATTTTTTAGTGCATTATTTTTTATATCCTAAAATGCTTTTTTTGGGATATTATTAACATTTGGTTATCATATATCATATCGTATCATTTATCATATCATTTTATCATCTCATTAACAAAGTATTATTCTTTTTCATCGATACTATTATTAATTATTTGTTTGTAATGTTTGTTGTTTAATTACCTTTCTTCTTTATTTTTGTGCAGGAATCGTATTTTTTTTGGACTTTCGGAGTTCATGAAAGCGATTGTTTTGGTGCAATAGATATTGATTCCGGAAAATCATTTCTTTTTCCTCCACGATTACATCCGGATTATGCTATTTGGCAGGGAAGGTATGATTTCTTTGCGAATTAAATTACTAAATTTTATTGTATAATAGATATATGTATATTTCTTTCTTTTGCAATATCTTTTTTAAAATTGTAAAATTTGATTATTTTTTGTTTGTGTAGAATATTTGAAGCTTTTATAAAATGAAACATTCCTAGTATCAACAATGAAGAGTGGTATAAGAAGAAGTATGAAGTTGATGAAGTACATTTCAATGATAAAAATACCATCAATGAAGTATTAACAAATTTGCATGCTAAGCAATTATTATTGCTGGTAAAGTTTTTGTTTCCATCGTTGTTATCAGTTATTAGTTGTAGATAGATGATAACCTAAGAAGTTTTTCTTTTCTTGAAAAAAGGCATAATGAAGGATAAGTTTGATCATTTAACTATATGATAATGTCTTTTTAGTCTGCTGGAATTATAGAAGAATGAGAATTACAGAAAATAAAGAATATACTGGAATTATAGATGGAATTATAGAAAATAAAGAATATTGTAATCAGTGCTATACAATGATTATATTGATGTTGATTAAGTTTCTTTTTAGAAAGCTGATAATTCGGATAGCGGTGAAATATTGGAACCTCCAACTATCGATGGATTAAAAAAGTAAAAATTTGCATCTTATTTTTCTGTAATTAATAATAATAGTGATAGTAATAATAATGATGATAACAAATAATAATGATAATAATAATAACTAATAATAACAATAACAATCAATAGTAATAATAATTAATAATAATAAATAATAATAATTGTGACAAAAGTAATAATAATTAATAATAAAATTGGTAGTAACAAAAGTAATAATAATTAATAATAATAATAGTGACAAAAGTAATAATAATAATTAACAGTAGCAATAATGATAATAATATTTAGTGTTAAGGAAAAAGTAAGAAATCCTCATCTAATACCATAGCTTAATATTGGGATAATTTATTTAGTGTACCTTGTAATACATCAATACTGTATCCAATTATGGCTGAGCTTCGCGTCTTCAAGACAGATCACGAACTTAATGTTATGCGTTATGTTTGCAAGGTATTTTTTCAAGAATTATGCAATTTTCCTTAAGCTGAACAAGAATGTAAATATATCTAATGAATTTCATTATTAGTAATTAAAAAATTGTAACAATTATATTGGTAAAAAATGGCATTATAATGCTATTATAACTGGTAACAATCTAATTAGCAGATATATTAACTTAGGAAGCGAAATTGTTGTTACATAGTAAATAAAAGCTGGCAAATAAGGCTACTATTTCATTTGGCCTATTAATATTATGATAAAGTGTGTCAATGATATGTTTCATTTGATGATAAATTCGTCTTTCTATAAAATATATATTTTGCATATGTCATCATACCTTAAGGCAATAATTAAATTAATATATTTATGTAAAGTTTAAATTTTGGATTTTAATAATTTCTAATATTAAAGTGCAAAAAAAATTATCTCAGGTAGCATCAGAAGCACATAAAGCGATAATGAAATCAGTGAAACCTGGAATGTATGAATATCAATTAGAAAGGTATTAAGTTTACCTTGTTTTTTTTAAATCAAATAAAATTTTGAGCTTTAAATGTCTAAATATTATTGTTTAAAGGCTTCTTTAATTGTTTAATAATCTTCGAATAATTTTAATTACCATATTCTTTTGTTTTAATATTTATTAAAATTTGAACAGTAATTATTGAACGAATTTATTTTGATGTTAACTTCTTCAATCAAATATTCCATATATCTCTTGAGTGCTCTGCATAACGCACACACACACACACACACACACACACACACACACACACATACAACATTTTTAATGTATAGTTTATAGTTTATTTATTTAAATATATAGCTTATAATCTAGTGAAATGTGAAATGAAATTTGACACTGTTTCAAACTACTTCATTTATTTAAACTTAATATTATTGAAGTAGAAAAGTTCGACATTTTGATGTAATAATATTAGAATTGAACAAAAACAAAAATATGGAAAATTATAATAATCATTATAGCTTATTTCGTCATTATTGCTATTATCATGGTGGATGTCGACATTTGGCTTATACATGTATCGCTTCATCGTAAGTAATAAATAACGAATAATAAATAGCATTGAATAATAATTTATTCTATTTTTGTTTTTTACTAATAAATAATATTGGATTATAATTTATTCTATTTTAAACCTAACTTTAAAATGAAATTTCAATTTTTTCACTTTGTCTTTTTTTGAAAGAGATTGCAGTAAATTCAATTTTAAAAGTGTTAAATTTATTATCATTTAGTGGTTGTAATAGTGCAATCCTACATTATGGCCATGAAAATGCACCAAACATGAAAAAAATCATCGATGGTGATTTATGTTTGTTTGATATGGGCCCGGAATATAACTGTTATGGTTTGTTGTTTGATGTGAATATTTGTATTCATTCGAAATGTTTGCAAAAATTGTAGAAGAGATAATAATAATAATAATAAAATATAGGATCAAAGGAAGGATAGGTAATGGATTTACTTTTAACTCTTAATTTTGGATGTAGGAAAAAGCAGTTTTATCGTTTTTCCTTCTTCAGTTTTGATATCTTCTTTTTTCACAATGCTTTAATTAATACAACTAATGGATATCTTTTTGTTTGTTTATTTTTTCCCATTTATATTTCATTTTATTTTAGCATCAGATATTACGACGACATTTCCGTGCAATGGTAAATTTACAGAAAAACAAAAGATTATTTATAATGCAGTTTTGGCTGCAAATACAGAGGTATTTAAAGCTGCTAAACCAGGTTAGTTTACTTATTTATTGTTATTCTTCGTTAAAAACTGAATGATTATATCATTGTATTAGTCTTACAATCAGTTCCATCAAACTAATGTATCAATTAATTAGCCATTCATTAGCAATTAATCATTACGCTTAAAACGAATGAAGATGATAGTTAAAAAAAATTTTAACAAATGTTTGATTATCATTATGAGTATTGCACAATATTCTTGGAATGTATATTAGTCTCCATTTTTATTCGTTCTGTTTCTTAATATTTATTTTTAATTTTCATTATCTTTTGCGTCATATCTTTTAATGTTATTCCAATTCTTAATTCCCTCTTTTAAACTTCTATTTATTTTTAATTGAGCATTGCACAAATTGCAATACGATCTGTTAAAATATTCCACGATCTAATCGTTTTTCAAGGGTAGAATTATGTTTAGGATTTTTGAGAAATTTAAAAATACTTTGATGGATATATTATTATTCATAATAATAATGATGATAATAATTTTGAAATTTCTTATTCGACAATTTTTTGTTTTTAAAATTTGAAATTATTTTCGACGATAAATTATTTCGATTTAAAAAATTTTTACTCAATTTTTTCTTTTACAACTAATTATGTTTTTATTCCATTCAATAGTTTCATTTAATTATTGAAAATAAAAATTATATTTGATTAATTCATTAATGAAATATAATTCATTTCTATCCTTTCTCAGAACATTTTTTTTGTAGGAATACGATGGAATAAAATGCATATGTTAGCGGAACGGATTATATTGTCACATTTGAGAGATGCGGGAATATTGACGGGTGATTTGGAAGATATGATGGAAGCACGAATGGGTGCGGTATTTATGCCTCATGGATTAGGACATTTTATGGGACTTGATGTTCATGACTGTGGTGGTTACCTTGGAGTTAGTTGTTATTACTTTCTTGATATCTACTTGGGAAAAAATTTTAAAAGTGGAAAATTCAAGAGAATATATATATAATAAATTATATGATAGAAATGTGTAAATAGTATCATAAATACATAAATACACTAAATAATCGCAAATTAATAACACCTAAAAAGGTTATTCAATAATGCTAATATTAATTTATGATTAGATTGTTTTGAATTTTTTTTACTTAGAATGATTTCGATAACTTTATGTATCATTGAAGAAAAAATTTGAAGATTTGAATCGTAAGATATCCGAAATTTTTGAATCATAATTTATGGAAAAAATTTTAGTTTCAAAACTGTATGGAACAAACCTTCCCTATGTACTTCCTTGGATTCTACCCAGATTATCGTATATTTTAGATTTGCTGTTACTTTCCGCCTAATTTTCACTGCTGAATGGAGTAGAAATTTAAGGTGAATTTCAGGATGCTGAACATCGATCAACATTTCCAGGTCTTAAAGCTTTACGTACAACACGTGTTTTGCAAGAAAGAATGGTAATAACCATCGAACCAGGCTGTTATTTTATCGATATGGTAAGTAATTTCATTTTCAAATTAAAAGAAATAAAAGATATTTCATCTTACTCTAGGTTTTTTTTTTCTGTAATTTAATTTTTTTCACTTATTCTTTATTTTTGAAGGTTTAAATTAGCCTCGCTTCACTTCTCTCTTCTCTTCCTATCTGCTCTAATTTACTTTTCAACCAATTTTACTTATCTATTTTCAGTTTATTTTTAATGAATCAGATTATAACTTCAGAAAAATTTTAAATTTCAGCTATTAGACGCTGCACTTAATGATCCGATACAAAGCAAATTCATTGTCAAAGAAAAGCTAAACGGGTTCAGAAGTTTTGGTGGAGTAAGTTTCTTTTTGCTTTTCTTTCATAAATTTATCTTATTTTGACTGGATCAGATTTATTATCCGTGATAGGTAATAATCACAGAAACATGATAACGAAGTGCAAAGCGATGAAATAATAGGAAGTTTTTTTTGTTTCACTATTATTTGAAATTTCAGTAAGTGACAAATGAATGTACAAATAAAAATAAAATTGAACTGTTCAATTTTAATTTAACAATCGAAAAATTCAATCAAAATTATTTGAATTATAACTAACTATTGGTTATAATTATTTATTGATTATTTTAATTAAGGTACGAATTGAAGATGATGTAATAATCTGGTCGCACGGAAATGAACGCATGAGCAATGTACCGCGAACTGTGAATGAAATCGAGCAATTCATGTCTGGAAGGTAAATAAACAACTATTGATCAAACTAATCAAATCTCAATCCAGAAGTCTCAGATAATCAGAATGATTGAAGAGTAATCGATTTAATGAAAGTCTGATTTCATTATTATAATTTTACATATTTAAATATTCCGTGGAAAAATTAGTTTAACTTGTAGTAGTACTAAGATTGTTAATGATTAAAGAATACGCTGCAATTTTCATACTGCTTACGAAATTTCTAATTTTTCTTTATTGACAGATTTTTTCACTGAAATGAGACGCTTAGAAAAATAAAATGATAGAAGTGAAGGAGGTAGGATGAAAGAAAGTTGGAAGGTAAATCTTCTCAATCGCCTATATTAATCGTAATGTGAATAGCTGATCATTGAATTAGTTGTTATCTCTATTGTTACAAGCTTCATCAATTTCTTTCTTTTATCATTTAATATCCTTTCCATTATTTGCCTATTCTATTATCATCAATTTACCAATTAACTTCCATTTGTCAATTAGCTTATCATTTTGTTTAAATTATTGTTATTATTTCCAGAATTTGTATTATTTTCTAGTTCGATAATACTTGTTATTTTGATTATTTTATGGTTTTATCAAAGGTTTTCTTATAGTTAAAACTCTATTTATTATACTGTCTGTTGCAGCAATTATTCAATTTTATCATTCCATATAGGGAATCATTGTTATTCTGTATTTATTTGAAATAATCGTAATTTGTTGTCATCACAATATTTGCTACAAAGTGATAAGGGATGAGAAGACATAAAGTATCCGTGATAACAACTGCAAACTGATATTAATTATAATATCACATTAGTATTAAGAAAACCGCTTATTAAAACAATTACTTATAAAGTAAAATCTTGTGGAATTTTCAAATTTTTAAAGCTTTAAAATTTTTACTATACTTATACAAATTATTTACTTTACGTGAACGTGAACGTTTTCTACGTTTAGGTTAATGAAGATTTATACGTTAATGAAGATTTATGCAATTATATGTGTGTGTCATTGTTTTATACATCTGAGTAGCTAAAGTGAATAAAAGTGAAATATTAGATCGGATTCAAGTTTGGGAGGAAAACTTCGCATAGTTTTAGATCGGAAATTCAACACCTAATGGTTCAATATTGCTGCTAATGCAATTTGGACTGGTCGCATAAACGTTTTGCAGTTTTTTCATTCTTTTGGAAATATGTTTTTAATTGTTAATTAATTAATTATTGAAAATCAATTTTTTTGAAAATTATTTAATAAACGTTCATATATTCATGTCAAAGGAAACATATGGGGACCGTAGCGGTGAAAAGCTGCAAAAACAATAATCCGGCATATGAGATACGTTTCGATCGAAGCGATAATTTTAAAGAACACAATTCATAGCAGTGAAAAGCTCTTTTAAAATTGAATTGTGTGCAACCAAAGTTTCCTAAAGCAATTCATTTTGAAATCATTTTGAAATCACATATGAAGAATGTTTATGCTGAAAAAGAAAATAGCTAAGCGCAAATTGTTCCTTTATTTCGTTAATTAAAATCTTGCAATTTAATAATCCATTCATAATGGAATAATAAAACGCCTTCAGGAAACCGAAATGCTGCAAATTGTGCAGCACATGACATGTAGTACCGTAACAAAGCTGAGGTATTTAATAAATTCTGTTAGTTCCAATGGCTGTTAACATCCGATGTATATGAGAGATCTCGATCGTATTCAGAAAGGTGAAAATTTTCTAGCTGGCAACATTGTCAATCACTAACGATCTCCTTCGGTATTTTGTGTCGAGCGATACCAGAAGAAATTCTTGCCGTGTTGATAAAATTTATTTTCCATTGCATATTGAATTCTAGCAATTTTTAAATCACTTTATTTTTGTGCTGCAAAACTCCCGACCGGAATCTTTTTTTTTTAATATTGAAATTAAAATAAGAGTGTGTGCAATGAATATTATCAGTTCTAATTTCCCGCGATATATATCACAAGATTTTTCCCTATCACTAATATGACAACAATTTTGATGGCATAAAAAACTGAAATGAAACGAAATGAAATTGTGCAAACAATGTTGCCAGTGCTTTGCATAAATTTTTCTACACGACAATTGAAATGAAATTATTCAACATTACAGATTATACATCAATTTCTGTTATTTTATTGTCAAACATAAATTACCAATACACGTCAATTGTCATTCTCACCTTTATAGCATTTACAAATACGATCTTTTGACAGTTTCCAATAAAAGTTATTTGGTGATCTCTGTCTGTCCTTTCACAAATTTCATTCAGTGAACACTATTTCACTTATTTACCATAATTTCGTGTTATGTGGAAGATTTTAAGAAATCACAATAAAACTATAAATAAGCAGCCATTTATGAAATCAGAATTACCTTTCTATGAAGTACACCCCTGGATCACCCGCGAGTGGTTTCTGCCGAGAATAAGTTACTATGCTTATTATTTGAATAAATAACGCTTTTGTTGTAATAATAATGAATGAGTGATTGTTGCGCTTTCGATGCTAATATATTTCGAAATGCGTTGTCTTGAAGAAATTTCTGTTTCTAAATAATTAGTCAAATAGCGAGCTGTGTGATTTCTTATAAGCAACCATTCCATAACTTATTGGTAAATTTGAATATTTTTCAGAATTGATAAGAAATCATATCAATCAATATGCATTTTATCTATTTCATCTTCTTTTCTTCTTTCTTCCAATTAAACATTCAAACTTCAGTGAGTTCATTAAAGATTTAAAAAATAAAACATTTTAATATTTCAAAGGTATCAAGTATCCAACGTTAAATGAGATGGATAATTTCATATAATTTCAGGAAGCACAAACGGTACAAACAGAGCCGTTGGATTTATCGGTGCGGAAAGTGAGTGAGGAACGAATACAATTACAAAAGCTATCAATTAATGAAACGAATAAAGGACAGACGGAATGTTTCCCTCAATCATCTCATTTGAGTGCTCAGAAGAAGACGCATACCGGTGAAAAGTCGTACAGTTGTACGCTGTGCAATCGAAGTTTCTCTCGCTCATCGAATTTGATGAGACATGTGAGGATTCATAATGGTGAAAAGCCGTATAGTTGCACGATATGCGGGAAAAATTTCGCTGATTCATCGCATATGATAAGGCATGGGAGGATTCATACCGGTGAAAAGCCGTATAGTTGCACGATATGCAATCAAAATTTCTCTCAATCACCGCATTTGACAAATCATGTGAGAACTCATATTGGTGGAAAGCCGTACAGTTGTATGATATGCGGGAAAAGCTTCTCTCAATCATCGAATTTGAGCAGACATAACAGAACTCATATCAGTGTAAAGCCATATCAGTGTATCCGTTGTACGATATGCGGGGAACCTTACGATCGAAGCGATAATTTGAAAGAGCACATGAAAACTCATAGCAATACGATGCTTTTTAATTGAATGGTATGCAACCAAAGTTTCCTAAAGCAATTCATTTTAAAATCACATGCGAAGAATTAAATTGAAATACTCGCCGCTATTTCTGGTACTGAAAATTATTTCGTTAATTGAATTCTTGTAATTTAATTATTCATTCATAACTTTTAGTTCTTTCATTCTTCATTTTTTGCTATTATTGTTATTCCTTACCTGCATATTATTTATTTTGTACCTGAAAGTTAATTAGTATTATTTTACTGCTATTCATTTACTATTTCTCTTTATTTCATTTCAATGAATGAAATTCTCTGTACTGTTTATCTGCTCGCAGACTTATTGGGCAGACAATTATTGTGGTATTAATAATTGGATGAAGCAATTGTAAAAATGTTGATAAATCAATCCCACATCGATCATGTTACCGGTTAAAAGAGCATAGACTATAATATTGATTTTTATTCTTCTCAGAAGACCTGCTTAAACTCGAATGATTTTGCATCCTACAACGATGTTCTCTTCCAAAATAAAATTTAGCTAGCGAAGCAATGAAGTATTCAAAATTATAGGAATATTGATTTCCTTTGCTAATACAATTGTTGAAAAAAGAAAATGAATGAATTAAAATGAAGGAATAACATAATTGTCATTCGTTGTGGAAGCTTTGATGGTTGTTTGGTTGGACGTGTCTTCTGCTGGTAATAAGTAAGACTGTGCATTACTTCGAGTCTTCACTTGTGACTGAAATATTTATTGGGAGAAGAGGATGCCGGTGAAAGTAAAACCAGAGAGAGGACCGTGAATGGGAAACTTTATTTATGTTATGCAACGGGAGACGTCAACTAATTCTTCGCTGAATGGACGTTCAATGGAAATAACATGATTTTTTTTATTCGATCTCAAAATTTTTTTGACCTAATCTAGTAAAAATTCTCCAGGCTTAGGCTTAGACCGAAGCTGAGTCTTAGTTTCATATTAATAACTGGTGTCAAATAAGCAAATAACTTTTCATATAAATAAAAAATTGTTTGTTCTTTTCACTTAATCACTGTTTTGTTTCAAGATTTTGTAATTAATTAAACAGCAAAATCGGAGATATCATACATTCATCTGAATGGCTTTCGTTGTTTCGATGACTAAAGTAAGGAAGATGATAAAGTGCGAGGAACAATTTAAAAATTTGGAATTTCCCACTAAAAAAATAAATGTAAACATTTCTAAGATACAGCTTTAACGAAGCATTTCATTTATTACACTCCATTTATTCGGCAAGTGATAAGTGATAGAAATAATAGTTTACGTTTGCACTTTTTGCAAATGACTAAGTTCGAAGATGTCATTACCAATTTAAAAAGCCTCCATATAAGCCCTAAACGTTACCAATTGCTTCCATTTCATTTGATTGATTATTATCTTTCGATCTTTCTGATTACCTTTCTCATTTTTGTTCTAATAAAAATTACTGATTGATTCATCAACATTTTTACAAGTGATTTGTCCAACAATTAATACTGCACCGATTCTCTGTTCAATGAGTGTGCGAAAGGTAGATAAACGATGAAGAGAATTTTATTCGTTGAAGTGAAATAAAGAGATATAGTAAACGAATAGCGGTAAAATAATACTAATTTACTGTAAGATACAAAATGAATAATATACAGGTAAGGAACAACAATAACAACGAAAAATGAATTAATGAAGAATTCAATTAACCAAATACCGAAACAATTTGCAGTACCGGAAACAGCAACGAGTACTTCAGTTAAAAATTCAAAAGGAATTGTTTTCAAAAGGAATGTGTCAAAAGGTTTCCCGCACGTCGTACAACTTTATCTCGGTATGCGTTCTCTTATGCAAATTCAAAGACGATGAATGAGAGAAACTTTGATTGCATATCGCACAGCTGTACGGCTTTTCACCGGTATGCATCCTCCTATGTACATTCAAATGCGGTGATTGAGAGAAACTTCGGTTGCATATCGTGCAACTATACGGCTTTTCACCGGTATGAGTTCTATTATGTACGCTCAAACTCGATGATCTAGCGAAATTCTTCCCGCATATCGTACAACGGTGTGGCTTAATGCCGGTATGCGTCCTTTTATGTAAATCTAAAGACGATGATTGAGAGAAACTTTGACTACATATCGTACAGCTGTACGGCTTTTCACCGGTATGCGTCCTCCAATGTGCATTCAAATGCGATGACTGAGAGAAACTTTTATTGCATATCGTGCAACTATACGGCTTTTCACCGGTATGGGTTCTGTTATGCTTGTTCAAATCCGATGATTGAGGGAAACTTTTCCCGCATATCGTGCAACGGTGCGGCTTTTTACCGCTATGCGCCTTCTTATGAGCACTCAAATGTGACGATTGAAGGAAACTTTCCGTCTGTCCTTCATTAGTTTCATTAATTGACGAATCTTGCAGTTTTATTTTTTCCTTACTAACTTTCCGCACCGATAAATCCAACGGCTCTGTTTGTACCGTTTGTGCTTCCTGAAATTATATGAAATTATCAATTTCTTTTAACTTTGAATATTTGATATCTTTGAAATATTGAAGTGTTTTATTTTTTAAATCTTTAATGAACTCACTGAAGTTTGGATATTTAATTGGAATAAAAAGGCGAGGAGGATGAAATGGATGAAATGCATATTGATTGATATGATTTCTTGCCGATTCTGGAAAATATTCAAATTTACTAGTACATTATGGAATGATTGCTTATAAGAAATCACATCGCTCGCTCTTTGACTAATTACTTTAAAAAAAGAAATTTCTTCAAAACAATGCATTTCGAAATATATTAACATCGAATACGCAACAGTCACGCATTCATTGCTAATACAACAAAAGCATTATTCGTTCAAATAATATGCATAATAACTTATTCCCGGTGGAAATCGATCGCGGGTGTTCTGAAGATAAATTATATGGAAAGATAATTCTGATTTCAAAAAAGGATGCTTATTTATGGTTTTATTGTGGTGTTTTAAAATCTTTCTACATAGCACGATATTTGAGTAAGATAGTGGCATTTTTGCTGAAATAAATGAAATAATGTTTACTAAATGAAATTTGTAGAAGGACAGAGATCGCCAAACAACTTTTATTGGAAACTGTTGAAAGATCGTATCTACAAATGCTTTAAAGGTGAGAATGACAATTGACGTATATTAATAATTCATGTTTAACAATAAAATAACAATTGATGTTAATCGATCATACTGAATATTTTTATTTTAACTGTTGTATTGAACTATTACACCTAATCGGAATGGATTCGTTACTTGCAAATTAATTCTACATGAATTTCAACAGTATTAACTAATTTGCAGATCTCCGAGATTTCTTGAAGAATAGTATGGAGAACAGTATGACAAATAATTTATGCAAATCATTTACTAAATTGTTTCCAGAATTTCATTTCATTTCATCTCAGTTTTTCCACGCATTCAAAATTGAGCTATTATCACGATGTCAGACGAATACTGTATTTATATTAACCCACATGTTATAATCAAAAAGTGTCATTTTAAAGTGTCAAAGTGTCATTCCAGAGAACGGTATGACGCATCAAGGAAATTACAAGAGGAAGACAATGCTCACATTGTGCAGCTTTCAATTTTCATATCAAGAATGATCTTTTA